TTACAAAATCTAATATGAATTCATGATTAAAAACTTTTGGCAAACTAGGAAGCGAAGGTAATTTCATGTACTTGATAAAAAAAAAATCTGCAAAAGCCCTACAGCTAACATCATATTTATTGGTGAGAAACTGGAAGTTTTTCCACTAAGATGAAGAACAAACCAAGGATGTCTTCTCTCACCCACTGTATTGGTGAAACAACAGATAAATAAATCAACTATATAGAATAGATAATCCAGAAATAGGCCAACATAATTATATTCAAGTGATCTTTACAAATGAACAAAGGTAATACCACGGAACAAAGATTGTCTTTTCAGCAAATGGTGCTGGAACAACTGGGCATTCAGATGCAAAAATAAATGAATCATAAACCTTAACTCTTCACAATAAATTAACTCAAAGTGCATCACAGACCTAACTATAAAGTGAAAAACTATATAACTTTCAAAAGATAATATAGGAGAAAATGTAGATGACATTGGGTATGGCGATGACTTTTTAGATACAAGACCAAGGACACAATCTATGAAAGAAAGAATTGATAAGCTGAACTTCATTAGAATTTAAAATGTCTGCTCTGTGACAGACACTATCGAGAGAGGAAGAAGACACAGACTACAGAAAATATTTACAAAAGACATACTTGGTAAAGCACTGTTATCCCAAGTATACAAAGAACACTTAAAACTTAACAAGAAAATTGGACAACCAATCAAAAATGAGCAAAAGATGCAACTGACACCTCACCAAAGAAGATGGCAAATAAACATGTAAAATGATCGACATCATATGTTATTAGAGAATTGCAAATTAAAGCAACAATGAGATATCACTATACACCTACTACAATGGCCAGCATCTAAAACACTGACAACAGAAAATGCTGGCAAGGATGCGGAGTAGCAGAAACCCTCATTCAATGCTAATGGAAATGCAAAATGAAACAGCCACTTTGGAGAAATTGGAAGTTTCTTACAAAACTAAACATACTCTTACCATATGATCTAGCAATCCCACTCCTTGGTACTTACCCAAATGAGCGCAAAACTTGTATCCACACAAAAATCTGCACGTGAATGTTTATGCGTTTTGTCTACAATTGCCAAAACTTGGAGAAAAAAAATACAAGATATTATTCAGTAGATGAATAGATATACCAGCGGTGGTGGTCTTTTTAGATAATTAAATATTACTTGGTAGTAAAAACAAATGAGTTCTCAAACCCTGAAAAGATATGAAGGGCTGATAGATGCATATTACTAAGTGAAAGAAACCAATCTGAAAAGGCTACATACTGTATAATTCCAGATATACTGACGTTGTGGAAAAGGCAAAACTACAGCTAGTATAAAGGGTTCAGTGGTTGCCAAGGGTTGGGGAAGGGAGCAATGAATAAATGAAGCACTGAGGACTTTTAGGGCAGTGAAACAACTCCGTATGATACTATAATAGTGAATACATGTTATTATACATTTGCCTAAACCCACAGAGTGTACAACACCAGGAATAAACCCTGATGTAAATCATGGACTTTGGTGATAATGATGTGTCAATGTAGGTTCATCGATTGTAACCAATGTTCCACTTTGTTACAGAATTTTATTATCAGGAGAAGCTGTGCACATGTAGGGAGAGAAGTATATGTGATATATCTATATCTTTGCTCAATTTTGTTGAGAACCTAAAACTGTTTCTGCTACTAAAAAAAAAGTTTGTTTTTGAAAGTCTCAGCCAAAAAAGAAAACTACAGAATGATCAAGTAAGGGTTGATCCCAAGAACACAAGGATGGGTCAATATCAGAAAAATGTATCCGTGTAATTTATGACATTAGAATTGAAAGAGAAAGAAAAAATGATATGTTTTTACCAGATGTAAAAAAAAAAATTTAGTTAAAAAAAGCTTTAATAAATAAATAAATGTATTTCATAAAAATAAAAACTTTGAAAACTATGAATAAAAGAAAACTTTTTAGTAATTTTAAAGACTTTCTTCCAAAAACATGCAGCATACATGATCTTAATAAAATGATATATGCACATTCTCTTTAAAACTTGCAATAAGAACCAAAAATGGAAATAAGAAATTTAATTCAAAATTGAAAGGAGGAGATGTTTTCAGTGTGTTGCTAATAAAATTATTTACATGGAACATTCAGCAAGGCCAGCAGACAAATTATCAGTTTAGTAGTTTGCCAGAATAACACACACAGATTAACAGTAGAAAAAGTAGTGGAAAATAAGATGCCATTTAAATTACAAACCAAAAGTACTGGCCAGGCACGGTGGCTCACGCCTGTAATCCCAGCCCTTTGGGAGGCCAAGATGGATGGGATCGCTTGAGGTCAGGAGTTTCAAGACCAGCCTGGCCAACAGGGCGAAACCCCTCTCTCTCTCTTTCTAATAATAGCAAATAAATTTTCTATTATGAAAATAGAAAAACTAGCTGGGCATGATAGCAGTTGCCTGTAATCCCAGCTACTTGGGAGGCTGAGATGAGAGAATTGCTTGAACCTGGGAGACCGTGGTTGCAGTGAACTGAGACTATGCCATTGCACTGTAGCCTGGGCAGCTGAGCAAAACTCCGTCTCAAAAATAAAAAAATAAAAAAAATAAAGGAAAAAAGAAAAGTATAAAGTGTTTAGGAATTCACCTAACAAAACACATAGAAACTTTAAGGAGGAATTTTTTAAACTCCATTAAATGATATAGAAGATGACTCTGACAAACTGATACTAAAAGCTATATGGAAGAATAAAGTTTCATGAATATCTTACCATTTTGAAAAAAAGAATGCTAGGTGTGGTGACTCACCACTATATTCCCAGCACTATGAAAGGCTGAGGTGGACGGATCACTTGAGGTCAGGAGTTGGAGACCAGCCTGGCCAACATGGTGAAATCTTGTCTCTACTAAAAATACAAAAAATTAGCCCGGCATGGTGGCAGGCACCTGTAATCCCAGCTACACAGGAGACTGAGGCAGGAGAATCACTTGAATCCAGGAGATGGAGGTTGCAGTGAGCCAAGATCGCACCACGGCACACCAGCCTAGACAACAGAGGGAGACTCTGTCTCTAAATAAATAAAATTAAATAAAATAAAGAAGAGCAAAAAGGAAATGACTTTACTGACCAAATAGACATTACAAAGTCTAGTAACATGAATAGTGTTTTCTGGTAAAGTGGCCTACCCAGACACAGACCCATGATGATATGAAACTTGGTACATGATAGGGATGAGATGCCAAATGTGATGACATTGGGAAAAACTGACTCACCTTGTGGAAAAGATAGTAAAATTTATTCTCTCTCCCAAAAAAACCCTTTTGTTGGATTTGAATTTAAAAACCTAAATGTGAAAAGGAAAACTAAAAACCAATAAGAGAAAATGTAGCTGAGTATTTTCATGACCCTAGGATAGAAGGATTTCATAAATACTATGGAAAGTACACAAATCATGGATAAATTTACCAACTTCAAAGTAGCTATATATGTGCAACAGTAGCTATAAATGTGTCATAAAGTTATCAGAGAATTGACAGGCTAGCTTAAGATACTGTTGAAAACTGGTGACTAAAATCTAGAATATAAGAAGCTATCTCCAAATCAGACAGAAGGCAGGAAACCCAATGGAAATGAGTGAAGTATATGAACTGGCAATTCACAGAAGGGAAAAGCCAAATAGCTAGTAATATACGAAAAGAAGCTTAGCCTCATAAGAAATCAGAAAAATGAAAATAAAACCACAATTCTATACCACTTTACACATACCAGATTGATAAAAATTAGAAAAATCAGAAAATACCAAGTATTGGTGAAGAAATGAGAACCCTCGTGCTTTTCTTGCTGGAGTGTTGGCTGGCTATTTTAGAGAACAATCTGGCAGTATTTAGTAAAATAATATGTGAATTTGCTCTATAATCAAGCAATTCTATGCATATATATCCAGAAACATTCTTGTACAGGCACACAAGAGAATATGCAAGAGAATATTCATTGCATCCTTGTTGGTATTTGCAAACACTCCAAAAGAACTTCCTGCCACTCAAAGACTGGACAAGTAAAGGGTTTAGGCAATGAGTCGGATTTACAGACAGCAACAGGATGTATGTGTCCCGGAAACATAATGTTGAGAGAAAAAAAGAAAAAGCATTAGATTTATCTCCCAACACATCTCATGAAAATTCAACACATACGCACAAAATAACACTAGTTTTCAAGAACAGGAATTTGTCTAAATAAATATATGAAAAATGGATTAGAAAGATGCCTAATATGTTCACTAGATTAGGCCCCTTTGAGGCTATAGAAATGGAAAAAGGAATGGGTCTGGGCGTGTTGGCTCATGCCTGTAATCCAAGCACTTTGAGAGGCTGAGGCAGGATGATCACTTGAGCCCAGGAGTTTGAGATCAGCCTGAGCAACATAGCAAGACCTCGTCTCTCTCTAATAAAAAAAAATTAGCTCTGTGTGCTGTCATGGGCCTGTGGTCACAGCTAATCAGGAAGCTAAGGTGGGAGAATCACTTGCATCTGAGAGGTCAAGGCTGCAGTGATCTGTGCTTACACCACTGCACTCCAGCCTGGGTGACAGAGCCAGACCCTGTCTCAAGAAAAAAATTAATAGAGAGAGAGAGAGAGAGAGCGAAAGGGGAAAGAGAAAGAAAGAAGAGAGAAAGAAAGAAGGAAGGAAGGAAGGGAGAGGAAGGAAGGAAGGAAAGGGAGGAAGGAAAAGAGAGACAGAAAGGAATGGAAGGTGAAGGGGAAAATAATTCTACACATAACATTTTACATAATGTTTGAACAAGCTGATGTTAGTTCTCCATGAACTGAAAAATTGAATGAACTTAAATCTGTGACTCCAAAGTCTTTAAAAGTAAATAGATTCTTCCTAAAACTTTGTTGGGATAAGCTGTTTGGTTTTTGTTGTTGTTGTTTTTTAAATCTTTATCCTTCCTCTTTTTTTAAATTTTGTTTCTTCTCTTTCTGACTGATAAAGGGTTGCTGGCCCCTCGCCCGGTCTCTGCATACTCAGAGGGCAAGGACGGCATTCGGGTGATCTGGCAGCCTCCCAGGAAAGCTCCCTCTGCTGTTCAAGAGTACGTGGTGGAATGGAGAGAGCTCCATCCAAAGGGCGACACACAGGTCCCTCTGAACTGGCTGCGGAGTCCCCCCTACAATGTGTCTGCTCTGATTTCAGGTACCTAATTGTTCATCTTCGTTCTGGAGGGTTACTAAGTTCACATTTGTTTGGGGAAATTGCAGGCAAGAGCCAGAACCCTGCCTTCAATTACAGGTGGCTAAATATAGGAGAGACTGATGACTAGAGTCTATCCAGTGGCACTTTAGAATACTCCACTGCAGACATAAATGACCAACTGGTTAACTAAAAACTCTATTATTTATGAAAAATCCATATCTCCTTAGCACAGTGCGAAAAAAAGATGAGTGAATAATTGAACCAAACAAGTATGGCTGAGAGCTAAGTTAACCGACCAGTGTAATAGACACCTTTATTCTGGGGAATTCATTTACTTAATAACTCTCAAAGCAATCATGTTCAGTAAGAGTCAGTATGGGCTGGGCGTGGTGGCTCACACCTGTAATCCCAGCACTTTGGGAGCCCAAGGCAGGTGCATCATGAGGTCAAAAGATTGAGACCATCCTGGCCAACGTGGTGAAACCCTGTCTCTACTAAAAATACAAAAATTAGCTGGTCGTGGTGGCACATGCCTGTAGTGCCAGCTACTCGGGAGGCTGAGGCAGAAGAATCACTTGAACTCAGGAGGCTGAGATTGCAGCGAGCTAAGATTGTGCCACTTCACTCCAGCCTGGCAACAGAGAGAGACTCAATCTCAAAATTAAAAAAAATAAGAGTCCGCATGGCCATTGTATAAATGAAGAAACCAGGAAATCTTTCATTCCCAATTCTGCTACTTATTAATTGTGTAATAATAAATCCAGAATTATCTATATGACGATTGGTATTTCTAATCCCCAGTTTCCTAATCTGTCAGTGGTTAGAATCAAGTAAGAGAACCCATCTGAGAATATATTAAAATTACTGGACAGAACTTAGTCAATGTCGTTGTTAAACATAAATTCAGCACTGAATTGAATCAGTGGTTTAAAGTTTTGACTCTGCAGCCATACTACCTGGGTTTGAGTCTTGGCTCTGTGCGATCTAGGGCAAGTTACTTAACCCCTTTGTGCCTCAATTTTCTCATCTGAAAAATGGGGATAATAATATTACCTACTGCATTGGGTTATTATGAAGACGAACTGAATTACTTCAAGGAAAACGTTTTGAACAGTGCCTAATACATTTTAAGGGGTCAGTAATTTAGCTATCATCTTCATTATTATTTTTACATGAGACAGAGCTAATAATTTAAGGTTTTCAAGCTCTAAATCCTAGAATGTTTCCATCACACCATAATAATCATTACACCTGTCTAGGAGGATATACACACCCTGCGTAAGGTGACAAGATTTACACAAATGAAATAAACAGCACACTGCATGAGAATACCTGAGTCCATCCTTAACTGTGTACCCCTTTTATAGTCTGCCTACTCAGACTTCTAGCAGGTTCATTTTTAATCACTACCCTTAAAAAAATGCTGCCTAGATAACCTAGTAAGCATCCAGAGGAAGATGGGCAGGTTATTAGGAGCCTGGAACTTTGAATCTGGAAACCATTTAATCCAGAAAAGAGAATTCTAGATGGGCATGGGAATGGGACGACTTGATGGCTGTTGCTGGCTTTGACATTACACACAAGACAGTATGTTTCCTTTGTTGCTCTGGAGAGAAAAATTAAAGCCCTGTGTGGAAATTATAAAAGTAGCTATCAGCTCAATTTTGAAAAAGAACTTTCCTGCCTTTGATGGTCTCTAATGGGACAATCAATGACCTCTCAAGGCAGTGTGTTCCCTGTAGAACCAGTTTTCTTCAGGGCTATTATGCCCACCAAATCAGGTGAAAGAGTGAATAGAAAAGCATTTGCCAAACTTTAAGCTGCTATGAAATTGGAAACATTATTATAAGCTGTATTAGGACTTACTCCTGTGGGATAGCTTGAATTATATGGCAAGAGAGATGTTTTCCCTACTTAGTAAGTGTCTTTATACACTTTAGTTATAATATTCATTGAATAAAATCAATATACTAGGCTGGGTGCGGTGGCTCATGCCTGTAATCTCAGCACTTTGGGAGGCCGAGGCAGCCCAATCACTTGAGAACAGGAGTTCAATACCAGCCTGACCAACATGGTGAAACCCTGTCTCTACTAAAAATACAACAATTAGCCAGCTGTGGTGGTGTACACCTGTAATCTCAGCTACTCAGGAGGCTGAGGCAGGCGAATCACTGGAGCTCGGGAGGTGGAGGTTGCAGTGAGCTGAGATCATGCCACTGTATCTAGCCTGGGTGACAGAGTGAAACTCCATATCCGAAAAAAAAAATTAATGTACTAATGAATACAATAACTTTAAAGTTGTTCTCCTGCTTGGAAACACTTGGTTAGCTATTAGTGTATGTTGATGTTACAGTCTGGAATAAACACTTAAAAAATAAGCAATTCATGCTTATCATGAGTTCAAAATGGCCCCCTCTAGTCAGTAAGATCACTCATTGTTACTGATTTTCACCAGCCTGGGGCAGGTGTGGGCGTTTGGAGTGGGCCAGAATATAGCCCGGCTCCTGGTTTATAGGTTGGTGGAGGCTAGGCTAGAGGCTAGTTCTGTCCTGTCTGGATGAAAATGCTTCTGACCACATACAGCCACTCCTTTTACAAATGCATAACATCACGGTGTCTACAAAACCTTCCCTGATGCCTAGAGTTGTTGGGCACCCTTTTCCGCCCTCTTCTTCCCCGTTACTGGTCATTTAATGTTTTGCCTTCTCCCACACTTAAGAGGTGAAATTAGCTTTCTGCAGAAAGACCACTTAAGCAATGGTCTATAAACATGGGGACAGGGATTTTGCTGAAGGATACTAGGTACATATGTATGTATGGGAATGGTGGGAAATGAGCCTAGAAATTGGGGTCAGACTCTAGAAAGGAAATAAAAGCCTTAGGAATATGGGCTTCATCCACTGAAGGTTTTGAGGTGGGGAGCAGGTATTGTTAGAGAGTGTTCATACAAGAATCAGCCAGTCAAACAGGAGTTCTTGAGGCCAGAACTGAGCAACAAACTTGCTAGGAAGGCTCTAGTCTTGGTGGAAAGGGAAATGTCCGCTGAGTTACGGGCCACATTGTCTTCTCTCCTCCATTAAAGGTAAGCCATTCACAAGAAGAAAACACAGCTTCTAATGCAGCAGTTGCCAAGGCCTCTGCCCTGAACTCGCATTTTGCAAGGCAAAACACAATGGAACTGTCTGCCTAATGGGCTCATCTGGAACTCCCATGCCTCCACAAGGCAGTGGTTGGTTGGCCCCTTTCACCACTAGGGGCTGAAAGCTACTCACATGAAATATAATTTCACATTCTGTGTTGCCCTTTGGGCTTCTTGGTGTCAATGCCACCTATGAGGAATCTTTGGATTACCGTACCAAGCCGACTGTGTCCTTTTCTCCACTTCACTTGGTTCATGAACTCGAATTGGAATTTACCCATGGCATGTGCTTTGATCTTGTCATGGTCTCTTGTCATGGTTGCACAACTGAGCTTTATGTGCTATTTCCTGGGATATTTAACAGGCAATGGATTTTCATATATAATACACATAATTTAATAGATTATTCTATGATACAAAATTATTCTTCCTGAAAAAAAAGCTAAACCCTAATAAATGGTCAGTGTAGAGGACACTGGCTACCTATCAGCAGGGCATTAATCAATACTGGAGAGGGTGCTTACTTTGAGTCCCTGATACTATAGTTACCTAGTAGGAGTTATTTCTCTTTTTCCTTTAAATGTTCATTTGAAATGTAAAAGTATATCATGAGAGATATCTATGAAAGAGGCCTTTTATTCACAAGCAGTAGAAATCTGAGATTCATGAAAATAAGGAATTTTGGCGGGGAAGAAAGACTTGCCAATAGATGAAGAAAAACCTGCTGAGTGACTAATTGCAAGTAGCGCTTTAAAAGCCAGGAAGGTGCATTAACATTCCCAAGTACCTTTTAAATCTTCCAGGCTGTGAAGCAACTGAAATCTAACTGGAATATAGAGGGAGAGGAGGTAGAGTAACAAAGGGTCAAATTGGACCCAGAGCACCCTGGTTAGTCATGCCTGAGTGTGTCATCTACCCTGTCAGACCTTGATAAGCATCACGGAATTAGAAAAGCCATTCAGGTTCTATGCCTGCAAAATTTCAGCCTCACTTTCCTGTAAAAAGCAAATGCTTTATTTGCAGAAATCAAATTTCTTTTTTCTTGAGTGCAAGTTGTTTTGTTTGTTTAAAAAGCAGTCTGAATGCATGTGTGTGTATGGTTATATTTAAATCCGTGTTGGAACTCAAATAGCTTTTGTCTCCTTATTCACGGCGACCTCGTTTGTTTATATGGAAAGAAACTCAGGTTCATTGGTTGGTTGGCTGATCTCATCCTTTGAAGTTGGGAGCGGTGACTTCCAGAAGCCAACATCATGGCAAATCAGATGCTGAGAATTTGTAACATAGGTCATCAGTCCAGACTGTGCTTGAACCACATTTAAACTAGGAAAAGACAAGAAACACGCTGAAGGCATTTGTATCAGATATTAAAATGGCTCCTTTTCACTAAAGGGAATGGCTTCCTTTCACCGGTAAATGGTGCAGCTGTTACAGGAACTCCCTTTTCCTTGCAGAGAATGTAAAGCCCTACATCTGTTATGAAATCCATGTGTATGCACTCTCAGGGTATCAAGGAGGATGCACTTCCACGCTGGGTAACTCTAAGCACGAAGGTGAGTCTTGGGACCTTTTGCCAAATTTTGCTTTAGTTTAATGATTTGGATTTGTAGGGTGACAGAAGCCTCCTGTGCTACTTTACAGCTCCACGGAGCGGCCCCCATGTTAATGCCATCACAGAGGAAAAGGGGAGCGTTTTAATTTCATGGAACAGCATTCCAGTCCAGGAACAAATGGGCTGCCTCCTCCATTACAGGATATATTGGAAGGAACGGGACTCCAACTCCCAGCCTCAGTTCTGTGGTATGTGTGAGAACCAAATGCAGTGGGTGGGACCTTCTTGTTTGGATGTCAGGAAAACACAAGGAGGTGTGCATGTATATCTACATAGAAGTACTAGTGTCATGCCTGGCCCATAGGAAGTACTCAATAAATTCTTGTGAAGTTAGCTGAGTGAAGAATTAGAAAAGACATCTAAACACACACACAGAAAGTTATTGAATATGTGTTATATGCCAAGCAATTTGCTAAGGATAGAGAAATGAAGTAAATGGACTAGCTCGTAAGGTGCTTACTCAGATGGAGAGACAGCATTTCAATAAATAATAATGATATTTCAATACTGTATAGACTTCTTTGTTTTTTTAGACAGTGCCTCACTCTGTAGCGTAGGCTGAGTGCAGTGGTACAATCACAGCTCACTGCAGCCTCGACCTCCCTGGGTTCGAGCAATCCTCCTGCCTCTGCCTCCTGAGTAGTGGGAACTACAGGTGCATGCCACCACGTCCAGCTAATTTTTAAATTTTTTTGTAGAGACAGGGTCTCCCTATGTTGTCCAGGCTGGTCTCCAACTCCTGGGCTCAGGTGATCTGCCTACCTCGGCCTCCCAAAGTGCTGGGGTTACAGGTGTGGACCGCAGCACCCCACCAATCCTGTACAGACCTTGAGGTTCACAAGAAATACATCTGGAGAACTTTTAAATACGCACATTTGCAATTACTATTATAGCATATTATTTTCTTCTTAAAATGGAAAAAAATATGATACAGATTAAGTAACCCTTTATAGCCCAAAATGATTCTGTAAGTATAAAACTAAAGCAATTAGAGTCAAGTCTAGCTAGAGTGCTGTCTGAAATGATGTCATGGGTCACTTATTCACGTACACTCCGAGTCACTTGCCATGCTTGATGTTTCAATCTTTGACTTATTCGGAGTTTTTGTTTTTCTGGATTTGACCTTCTCTTTATTTTGTAAGCAACTAGCTTTCAGGAGCATTTATCATAACGAAGAAACATTTTTATTTCTTTGTGACAGTTAGTAGGTCCAAGAAGAACGGAATAAAGCCACCCTGAAATGCAGCTGCCAGAGAGCTGCCTGCAAGGGGATTTCCACCTGGGAAGGTTTAGGAGCTGGTCTTCTCTCTTGACCTTTAGAGGTCCACAGTGTGACTTTAAAAGCTGGTTAATTTTTATTATATAAATAATACTGCACATGGTAAAAACAGTAAAGGAGTTCAGAAAGACATAAAAAGAAAATTTGTCTTCCCTTCACACTTAGGCTGTTAACAGTCCCTTGTGTATTCTTCCAGAACAAAACAATTAATGCATATACAAGAATATAGTTGAGATCTTTTTAAATTTTCTGATCTACACCTTGCTTTTACCTCTCAATGATTCATGCTGGAGAGCCTTCTACATCCGTCCATGTGAACTTACATCATTCTTTTCTATTGGCTCTGTAGTATGCCATCATAAGGCCTTACGGTCATTTGTTGAACAAGTCCACCATTGATAAACAGAACATATCACTGATCAGAACTGCTTCCCCCTGGGCTTGACAGGGTAAGTCAGTTCTGAAGTACACCCCAAGAGGTAAGGAATCAATTGATCTCTTCTTGAGCCATCTAGAATTTCTCATGTGAAATTTGTCCCCCAAATAATTTTCATTTTGGCAGAGTTTAAATTGAGATACCTGTTTACAACCACAAAGATCAACATGGTCTATATGGTCCGCTGATTTTTTTTTTTTTTTTTTTTTGAGACGCAGTCTTGCTCTGTCACCCAGGCTGGAGTGCAATGGCATTATCTTGGCTCACTGCAACTTCTGCCTCCCTGGTTCAAGTGATTCTCCTGCCTCAGCCTCCTGGGTTGCTGGGATTACAGGCATGCGCCATGATGCCCTGCTAATTTTTGTGGTTTTAGTAGAAGAGAGGTTTCTCAATATTGGCCGGGCTGGTCTTGAACGCTCGACCTCAGGTGATCTGCCCATCTTGGCCTCCCACAGTGCTAGGATTACAGGTGTGAGCCACTGAGCCTAGCCTCTTTTTTTTTAAACAGTAAACTATTTAACTTAATAGTCGGAGTCTCTTGAGTCTGTTGATTCTTTTTTTTTGAGACAGTTTTACTCTGTCACCTAGGCTGGAGTCCAGTGGCACAACCTCAGCTCACTGCAATTCTCCCGGATTCAAGTGATTCTTCTACCTCAGCCTCCTGGGTAGCTTGGACTACAGGCACCCACCACCATGCTCGGCTAATTTTTTTTTTTTTTTTTTTTTTTTAGTAGAGACGGGGTTTCACTGTATTGGCCAGGCTGGTCTTGAACTCCTGACCTTGTGATCCACCTGCCTTGGCCTCCTATAATGCTGGGATTACAGATGTGAATCACACGCCTGGCGAGTCTGTTGATTCTTAAAGCTGCTCTTGTGGATGTTGAAGAAATGCCTTCCTTATTTTGTCATAAATCTGATGACTCTAAAGCCTGCATTGGGTATTTAAAAATAAGTTAAAAGGGGAGGGAGAGTACAGATTCACAGTCTTATTTTATACTAGTTTAGGTTAAATTTCCATTTAATTCAGTAAGCATCTGTTGATGGATAACACGTACTCCCTATCTTTGACAAGCTCACAGTCTATGACGGAGATAGAAAAGTACACAAAAGGAGGCTGGGCGCGGTGGTTCATGCCTGTAATCACAACACTTTGGGAGACCGAGGTGGGCAGATTGTTTGAGCCCAATAGGTTGAGACCAGCCTGGGCAACATGATGAAACCCTGCCTCTACAAAAAAAAATTTTAAAAATTAGCCAGGCGTGGTGGTGTGCACCTGCAGTCTCAGCTACTCAGGAGGCTGAGGTGGGAGGATCACTGAGCCAAGAGGCAGAGCTCCCAGGAAGCTGAAATCGCACCATTGCACTCCAGCCTGGGTGACAGAGCTAGACTCTGACTCAAAAACTAAAAAAAAAAAGGGGGGACGGGGAAGAAAAGTACACAAAGGGGATATAACGTCATAATCAAGGGCTGACAACTACCTATTGCATTTGGCAACCAGAAGTCAATGGTGAATTCACAAGGGCACTTTCTAGAGAACAGTAGGAGGTGGTAGGTTGAGGAGGAGGGAGAAACACTTCACAATAGCAAAGCAGGAGGGTGTTCTGCTTTGATGGCCCCATCTTACTGCTGTCTCAGACCACTGACCAGGTAGCAGAATGAAGGGCACATGTGGAGCACAGTAGGGGAAAAAAATGAAGGGCCTGCCTGGGCAGAAGAGGTAAGGTGTAGAGCCAGGGAGGGGCCTGAGTAACTGCACTGCAGTGAGTCACATGGGTGGTTCTGTGCACAGCCACTCCTTTGGACACGTGTCCATATTGCTGTGTGCACCAGTAGTGCCATGGCCAGCACACTGCTCTACTGCAGAATACGTTAGACTTTGCTGCTACCTAGTAGTCTTTCCAACAGTCTCTAAGCATCTTAAGGGAAGAAGCCATGGCAATTTGCTCACCATTGTCTCCTCATACCTAGAATACAGCCAGACACATGGTAGGTGCTTCATAAAAACAAACAGCTGAATACCAGTCCACCCTTTGTTAAATCCAATGGAGACTGATAGATAAAAATTTGTTTCCAACAGCAGTGTAGCTGTTTTGCCTAGCACCACTTGACCTTCCTATCGACAGCCTTTCCAATGACTGGCAACTATCACATCTTCCTACACTGGTACCTTTATCATTGAGCCATCCTGAGTCTAAGTTTTCAGACTGCCAAGGATTGAATGGCCTCTTTTATCTCTGCAGAAGATCACAGCCCAGAGGGAGCAGGACCAGTATTTCCTGCTTTACTTCTTGACTTCTTTCTCCTGTTACACAACTCAGCCTATTTTGCCAACCAAACTGCTGACATCATCATCCTCCTCACTGCCTCTTCCCCCACAGAGCTTCTATTTCTGTTCTTCTAATATGTGTGCATATGTATGTATATAAACTTTATTGGCCCAGCAACCCATACAAATCCCTTCCCTTCTGTTCCAATGTCTCATTTCACTCCCGGAGTTAAGGATGCCCTCACACAGTTGGACAGTTGATTCCCTAATGCTTGCTGATGTTTTGCTGCAGCAAGACGAACAGAAGGTCTCTCTAAAATTAATTTTTTAATCCCCTGCTTTAGGACTAGAGAAGGGCTTTTTGAGCTCAATCATATAGCTTAAGACTATGCAAGCAATTCCACCAGCCTAGAGTATATTTGAGAAATTTCCACAAGGAGTTTTCTCAACAGAATGTAAGATACAGAAACTGCTCTGATAGTCCTGGTGAATAAATTATCTGCATGGGCCTCAACCCCTCTGGGTGGAGTAGAGGTAATAGTATAGGACTTCATCTTGCTGATTCCCGATAGTAAGCAGGGATGGCATAATGGAAGGGGTCTTTTCCCCATTAGATAGTGGACTCTTTGAGGCAGATTCTATGCTTTTTGCATTGTCAGTGCCTTGTCCAGTGTAGGCACTCATATTTATGACTGTTGAAATAACTTCAGCATGCAGGACATCCCTGACTTGCCCTGCAGTTTGTGAGCCAGTATATGTTGAGCGTATGATGCTGAGTTCTAGTTTTCCCTTTCACCAGCATAGATGAGGTCATCTCAATGAGCAGGCAGGTATGAAAGGAAAATAAAATCTCAAGACCCCAAACTCACTATGCCAAAAGGAAAGATAAACTTGGGAACTGAGTCACGAAGAAACTTCCTTTCTTTTGTTACCAAACAGATAGCTGTAACTTCACATGCTTACTTTATGTCAAATGTAGATTTACTGAGCTCCAGAGGAATGCATAATTGACCATTTCTCTACCCCTCCTTTCACATGTAAAATGTAGATTCACTGCGTGCTAATCAAAGCCTCACGAGACCACCTGCCTCACTGCCTATCTTCCTCACCCCGTACCCATTTTTTTTCCTTTCCACTTTCCCCTCTCTTTCCTTTTTAAATATTGAAGTCCTCAGCACAAGTCACAGATCCAACTGTTAAGTGTTTCTTTTCAACCTCAACCTCAACTTTGGCAAAATGAACCTCAAAACCAGTTGAAACTTGGCAGGGTGCAGTGGCTCATGCCTATAATCCCAGCACTTTGGAAGGCCGAGGCAGGTGAATCACCTGAGGTCAGGAGTTCAAGACCAGCCTGGCAAACATGGTGAAACCCTGTCTCTACAAAAATACAAAAATCAGCCGGGTATGATAGTGGGTGCCTGTAGTCCCAGCTACTCAGGAGGCTACTGCAGTAGAATCGCTTGAACCCAGAAAGCGGAGGTTGCAGTCAGCCGAGATCGTGCCACTGCACACCAGTCTGGGTGACAGAGTGAGACTCTGTCTCAAAAAAAATATGAAAAAAAGAAACTTGTCTCAGTATTTATTTTTTTCTAGTTGACACAGGCTACTTCTGCCAAAGTGCTGGCCTTGACTCTGCCATCCGCCCCAGATTTTGAAAGGTCACTACAAAATCCACACCCAGCAGGTCACTGGAAAAGTTTGCCTATTTACTAAAGACTACCTATATTCACAATTCTTAGATTAAAAAAATAGCATCAGTGCATTACTCAAAACACAAAATCTTCCCTACAAAGAAAACTGCAGTGGTATTAAGAACATAAGGAACTGGTAATCTAGGTTTACAGTTGCCAAATAAATCTAATGTAAGTAGCATTGCTCTAGTTTTTAGTGATTTTACGTCAAATTGAAGAAGATCCTCATGTTATACCCTATAAGCTCAGGGCCCAGAGCCTACAAATGGAAAAGTTCAAAATCAGAGTTTAAAAATGTCAAGTGAATGTCTGTTTCATTAATTGCTAAACTTTCCATTCTTAAAAATTCCATAGGCTGGGTGTGGTGGCTCATGCCTGTAATCCCAGCACATTAGGAAGCCAAGGTGGGTGGATCACTTGAGGCCAGGAGTTGGAGACAAGCCTGGCCAGCATGGCGAAACCCCATCTCCACTAAAAATACAAAAATTAGCCAGGCATGATGGCACACACCTGTAGTCCCACCTACTTGGGAGACTGAGGCAGGAGAATCACTTGAACCCAGCAGGCAGAGGTTGCAGTGAGCAGAGATCAGGTCACTGCACTCCAGCCTGGGAGACAGCACAAGACTCCATCTCGAAAAAATACAAAATACAAACTTCTATAACCGACTAGAGGCAGTGGCTCATGCCTGTAATCCCAGCATTTTGGGAAGCTGAGGCAGGCAGATAACTTGAGGCCAGGAGTTCAAGACCAGCCTGGGCAACATGGTGAAACCCCATTGCTACTAAAAATACAAAAATTAGCTGGGCATGTTGGCACATACCTGTAGTCCCAGCTGCTTGGGAAGCGGAGGCAGGAGAACTGCTTGAACCCAGAAAGCAGAGGTTGCAGTGAGCCAAGATTGCATCACTGCACTCCAGCCTGGGCGACAGAACAAGACCGTGTCAAAAAAAAAAAATTCCATGGCCTCAAAAACAATTTGTACATTTAACTTTTCTCCTCCAGAATTCCCAAATAAGCCTGATAAATACTAGAAATATTATCATCATTGGAAATAAAGGGAGGGAGTTAGCTATAGCTAAATAATTTCAAAAGCAAAACAACAAAAAATGTATTCAAAAGATTTTACCACAAAACACACACAAAAAAGAAAAAACAAAGTAAAAAAAAAATTTACCACCAAAAAATAATTTATTTGATATGCTGTGGAGTGAGAAGTCCATAAATGACAATGTCAAGGGCCTATTAAAGTATTAAGTACTGAGGAATTTGGACTATTTTAAAATAGCAAAATGCTTTTTCCTTCTAAATTAAATGAAGCATTAAAGAATAAAAATGAGTAAAAGCCTATATTAAAAGTCATATCCTTTAATATGTGCCTTTCTTCCTTTTTCTTTATCTTCCTTTCAGAAATTCCTTATAGAGTTTCCCAAAATTCACATCCAATAAACAGCCTGCAGCCCCGAGTGACATATGTCCTGTGGATGACAGCTCTGACAGCTGCTGGTGAAAGTTCCCCAGGAAATGAGAGGGAAATTTGTTTGCAAGGTGAGAGGCAATGTTAAAGATGGCGAGTCCACCATGGATTCTTGCACAGGCAAGCATTCCCACTACATTTGGCATAGAGATGATCAGATTTTCTTTAATTCACTAATAACTTTCTTGCTCTCACTTTGTACTTGCTGTTGCTTCTAAATAGAATGTTTTACCACTCTACTATCTTCTTCTTGGAGACAGTGTCTATTCAGGTTTCAAAATTCACCAGAAATGCTTTCTCCTTCAGGAAGCCTTTCCAAATGCTCCTCCATAATGCACTTACATTTAACTCCTACTCAAAACTCTGAATCCAGTAGGCAGGGACTGAGATCTGTTTATCTCTGTCTTTAAGGCCTAGCATGGTGCCCAGCAGATAGTACTTTCTCACTAAGTATCTGTTCCATGAATGATGAGAATCACATCAACAATAATAATAGCAGCTATTGCATATGCAACAGTCATTCTGTTAAGTGCTTGATGTACTACATTAATTTGCTGGGGCTGCTGTAATGCAGCACCATAAACTGCGTGGCCTAATCAACAGAAGTCTATTGTCTCATAGTTCTAGAGGCTAGAAGTCCAAGACCAAAGTGTCAGCAGGGATGGTTCCTTCGGAGCTCTATGAGAGAGAATATTCCAGGCCCTCTCCTCTCTTCCAGTAGTTTGCAGGCAGTCATTGATATTACTTGCTTGTAGGTCTCTGCTTTCATCTGGCATTCTCTATGTGTCCAAATTTTCTCCTTCTTATAAGGACACCAGTCATATTGGATTAGGGGCCCACTCTACTCCAGTATGACCTCATCTTAACTAATTATATCTGCAATGACCCTATTTTCAAACGAGGTCACATTCTGAGGCTGGGGGTTTAGAACTTCGACATATAAATTTGAGGATCACACAGTTCAACCCATAACATATACTTTTGCTAATTTTTCCTTACCAAAATTACATGGTTACACCTATCCCATCCTACCAGACACTATGAAATGAATGAAAAAAATGAAGGATTATCATGTCTTTTTTAAAGTGAGGTGACTAAGGTACAGAAAGATTATCCAAGGTCATGGAAGTGGTAAGTGGCAGAACTACAAATTAAACCCAGATTTTAGTTGCTTAAATTAAGTTAAATTTGAGTCTGTTGAATAAGTGACCCAGCTAGCATCGGCCTCCACCAGCTAAGTTACACTGTTCCCTCTAGCAATGCTCATTTACATCTGCTCTAAGCATAAAACAAGCTGTCCTTGCTTTGTGACATGAAGCATCAGGTTAATCATTCAAGAGACTTTGCTGTTCTATGCCAGGAAACTCTCCATTGGGAAACTGACAAGACTTTAATCTCTCCAGCACTCCCATGAAAGTTAACTTGCTCGATTGATGTAGATTAAGGACTCAGACAAAACTTAGCCCAAGTGGTGGTGCACACCTGTGATCCCAACTACTCAGGAGGCTGAGGCAGGAGAATCGCTTGAATCCAGGAGGCAGAGGTTGCAGGGAGCTGAGATCACACCACTGGCACTCTAGCCTGGGTGATAGAGCAAGACTTTGTCTCAAAAAGAAAAAGGACTTAGCATCCTTCTACTGGTCCTATTCCAAACCTGTTCCATCTACCCAGAAAGAAAAGCAGATGCTGAAGAAACGTGAGATTTGGCCAAGTGCTGTGGCTCACCCTATAATCCCAGCAATTGGGGAGACTGAAGTGGGAGGACTGATTGAGCACAGGAGTTCAACACCAGCCTGGGCAACATAGCAAGACCCCATCTCAATTAAAAAGAAAGAAAGGCCAGATCCTCCTGATTGTATGGGGTAGAAAAAAGGTTGCCTCCATTAACTTCTCTATTCAGCCCTTTGACACTTCTCATGGGCCCTAACAAGTCTCTGGCCTCTAGCTCCTCCTGCTCACTCTCCCTCCCAACCTGTTTTTCATTCAATAGGAAGATGCTGGCATTACTTCTCTTGTTATAACTCCTCAGTGTTTCCCCAAGGCCTTCAAGCTAGAACTCAGACTCCATATTTGCCAGGTCCACATGGTCCTGTTTACCCATCTAGTTTGATCCTTTGCCACACACTTCAGCATTCGTTACAGAGCAAGACCAGACTTCCTGCAGTTGCCTGAAAGCACTGGCTGTTCCCTCCTTCCATGCCTTTGCATAGTTCTTTTTATCTGGGCTGGTCTTATCCTAGTTAGATAGGATAAGACCAGCCCAGATAAAAAGAACTATATGTATAAAAATTCGCTTATCAATTTAGCTGACTCCTATTCATCCTCCAACTCTACTTTTTTTTTTTTTTGAGATGGTCTTACTCTGTTGCCAAGGCTGGAATATAGTGGCATGACCACAGCTCACTGCATCCTTGAAATCCTGGGCTAGGCCAGGCGTGAAGGCTCATGCCTGTAATCCCAGTACTTTCAGAGGCTGAGGCAGGTGGATCCCAAGGTCAAGAGTTTGAAAACAGCTTGACCAACATGGTGAAACCCTGTCTCTACTAAAAACACAAAACAAATTAGCCAGGTGTGGTGGCACATGCCTGTAATCCCAGCTACTCAGGAGGCTGAGATAGGAGAATCGCTTGAAACTGGGAAGCGGAGGTTGCAGTGAGCTGAGATGGCACCACTGCACTCCAGCCTGGGTGAAAGAGTGAGATTCTGTCTCAAAAAAAAAAAAATCCTGGGCTCAAGTGATCCCCGTGCCTCAGCCTCACAAGTAGTTGAGACTATAGGTTCATGCCACCATGCCCAGCTCATCACCTCTAAACTTTTGACATTGTGCCTTTTGCAAAACCTTCCTCCACTACTTGTGAGCCAGTTTTCCATACTGATCTCTGCTACACTGCTGTGGACATTGCATACACCCTTGTTTTCATATATATCCCATGTGAATTAGTCCGTTCTCACACTGCTATAACGATGTACCCAAGACTGGATAATTTATAGAGGAAAGAGGTTTAATTGACTCACATTTCCACAGGGCTGGGGAAGCCTCGGGAAACTTACAATCATGGCAGAAGGGAAAGCAAACACGTCCTTCTTCACAAGGTGGCAGGAAAGAGAAGAATGAAAGCCAAGTCGGGGAAAGGCCTCTTATAAAACCATCAGATTCTCGTGATACTTCACTCACTATCATGAGAACTGCATGGAGTTAACTGCCCCCATGATTGAATTACCTCCCAGTGGGTCCCTCCCACCACATATGGGTATCATGAGAACTACAATTCAAGATGAGATTTGGGTTGGGACACAGCCAAACCATATCATTTCACCCCTGACACCTCCCAAATCTCATGTCCTCACATTTCAAAACACAATCATGCCTTTTCAACAGTCCCCCAAAGTCTTAGCATATTCCAGTAAGAGTCCAAAAGTTCAAGTCCAAAGTCTCATCTGAGACAAGTCCCTTCCACCTATGAGCCTGTAAAATCAAAAACAACCTAGTTACTTCCTAGATACAAAGAGGGTACAGGCATTGGGTAAATAGACTCCTTCCAAATGGGAGAAATTGGCCAAAACAAAGGGGCTACAGGCCCCGGGGAAGTCCAAAATCCAATAGGGATTTCATTAAACATTAAAGCTCCAAAATGATCTCCTGCCTAGACCCATTTATGCCTAGTGTTCCATTACTGGAACACTAAGCATGTGGGAGTTATTTATATCCTACTGCTCAAGGTCATCACCAAGGTCTAATTTTTCACTCATGCAAAAATTCAAAAAATTGCAACCTTTGATGTCTCATATCAGGTCATGCTGATGCAAGAGGTGGGCTTCCACATCCTTGGGCAGCTCCACCCCTGTGGCTTTGCAGTGTACAGCCCCCTCCTAACTGCCTTCATGGCTTGCATTTTCATATGCATAGTGCAAGCTGTCAGTGGATCTACCATTCCAGGGTCTGGAGGATGGTGGCCCTCTTTTCACAGCTCTATTAGTGAAAATGGACTCTGTGTAGGGGCTTGCACCCCACATTTCCCTTCCACACTGCCCTAGTAGAGGTTCTCCATGAGGGCTCTGCCCCTGCAGCAAACTTCTGCCTGGGCATCCAGGCACTTCCATACTTCCTCTGAAATCTAGGTGAAGTTCTCCAAACCTCAATTCTTGACCTCTGTGCACCCACAGGCCCAACACCACATAGAAGCTGTCAAGGCCCAGGGCTTGCACCCTCTGAAGCATCAGCCTGAGCTGTATGTTGGCCACTTTCAGCCAAAGCTGAAGCAGCTGGGATGCAGGGTACCAAGTCCCAGGGCTGTACACAGAAGGGGGATCCTGGACCTGGCCCTGAAGACCATTTTTCTCTCCTAAGCCTTCAGGGTTATGATGGGAGGGGCTGTCATAAAGGTCCCTGACATGCTCTGGAGACATGTTCCCATTGTCTTAGTGATTAACATTTGGCTCCTCGTTACTTATGCAAATTTCTGCTGCCAGCTTGACTTTCTCCCCAGAAAATAGGGTTTTCTGTCCTATTGCATCATCAGGCTGCAAATTTTTCAAACTTATGCTCTGCTTCCTCTTGAATGCTTTGCTTCTTAGAAATTTCTTAGAATACCCTAAATCATCTCTCTCAAGTTCAAAGTTCCACAGATCTCTGGGGAAGGTACAAAATACCACCAGTTTCTTTCCATAGCAAGAGTAACCTTTACTCCAGTAAAATGTTCCTCATCTCCAACAAGTTCCTCATCTCCATCTGAGACCACTTCAGCCTGGACTTTATTGTCCATTTCACTATCAGCTTTTTGGTCAAAGCCATTCAACAAGTCTCTAGGACTCTCCAAACTCCCACATTTTCCTGTCTTCTGAGCCCTCCAAGTCTCTAGGAAATTCCAAACTTTCTCACATTTTCCTGTTTCTTCTGAGCCCTCCAAACTGTTTCAACCTCTGCTTCCAAAATTGCTTCCACATCCTCAGGTATCTTTACAGCAGTGCCCCACTCTCTATGGTACCAATTTACTTACTGTATTAATCTGTCCTCATGCTGCTATAAGGACATACCTGAGACTAAATATGTTTCCTGAGGGAGGCCTCAGGCAACATACAATCATGGCTGAAAGGAAAGTAAACACATCCTTCTTAACAAGGCAGCAGGAAAGAGAAGAATGAGAGCAAAGCAGGGGTAAAGCCCCTTATAAAACCATCAGATTCTTGTGAGAACTCACTCATATCATGAGAACAGTGGCATGGAGTAGATGCCCCCATGATTCAATTACCTCCCATCAGGTCCCTCCCACCACATGTGGGGATTATGGGGACTACAATTCAAGATGAGATTTGGGTGGGGACACAGCCAAACCATATCACCATGGCATTGTGGCTTATTGTTTACATGTTCACACAACTGTGTCCTACACTATATTCATGACTTCTTTAGACAGCAGAGCTGATGTCCTATTTATCTTTGTATCCCAGCACCCAACAGAGCCTGTTACATGGCTAGTACTCAGCAAGTGCTGGATGAATTAATGGACAATTCCAACAAGTAGTAAACTGCAGTAGTTCTTTTCATAGGAAGGAACAGGCACAATTTCAGATATTTCAAAAATTTCACAATCACCCTAGCTAGCTAAAGGCTTATCCCATACTTTGCTAAAATTAATAGCTACTCTTTCTTGAGGACCTCCTATCTTCAGACATACTGCCATGTGCTTTAAATATACCATCTCTGATCTTCATAACAACCAGCAAGGTACATGTCACCGTTCACATGTTATAGATCAAGAAACGGAAGTCCACAGATTACACATCTGTTAGTGGCAGAGCTGGGACCAGGGCAGGGTTCCCAATTCACAATGTGCTTTGCATTCTGTACCTCCTTTCTTTCTGCCCCTGTGAGTGGAAGGAGCCCTGTAGGGCCAGAGCTCCTCTTAGAATCATAGAATTGGCCCCCTTAGGGTCCCATTTCTCATACTGCATAGACAGAAATGAACTGATCTTGTTCCTGAGTACAGCTGCCCAGGAGCTGTCGGTAAAACCCAGAGAGCTCATACACCAAACAGGATTTTGAAATGTTCACTGACAATAACTCACTTTACAGGTAAAGCCAATTGGATGGCGTTTGTGGCACCAAGCATTTGCATTGCTATCATCATGGTGGGCATTTTCTCGACACATTACTTCCAGCAAAAGTGAGTTGGTTACACCTGCCAATTTGGTAAATGAGGTTTTTAAAAAATGATAATAGCCGTTGCTGCCATGGATCAGGGAAAGGGACACTCTCACACATTCCTGTTGAAAGACTAAATGTATTTAACCATTTTGGGTGACAGTATGTGTCAAATCCTTAAAAATATACCTTTTTGATCTAATAATCTCTAACTAGAAATGTATTCTGAATATATATATATGAGATATATATATATATAATTTTTTTTTAGATGGAGTTTTCTTCTTGTCACCCAGGCTGGAGTGCAGTGGTGCAATCTCAGCTCACTGCAACCTCCACTTCCCAGGTTCAAGCGATTCTCCTACCTCAGCCTCCCAAGTAGCTGGGATTACAGGTGCCCGCCACCATGCCTGGCTAATTTTTTTATTTTTTATTAGAGATGGGGTTTCATCATGTTGGCCAGGCTGGTCCCGAACACCTAATCTCAAGTGATCTGTCCCCCTAAGCTTCCCAAAGTGCTGGGATTACAGGTGTGAGCCACCTAGCCTATTCTAAGTATATTACAAATGTCTGCAGATATTTAATGGCAAATATGTTCACTGAAATAATTTTCAGAAAGGGAAAATATTTGAGACAACCTAAATGTCCAATGATAAGGGATTTTGTTAACAAAATCCTGATATATTTTGTACTATAACATATTATGCATCCATGAAATATGATGTAGAAATTAAATGGTATGAACAATATTTACTGTGTTCCATTTAAAAGGCAGCCTGCCAAACAATATGTACTTTCATTTCTTAAAAATAGTGCATACACATACATGCAAATGTAAGATATATCAATTAGCATTAAATTTGGTTATATATAATATGAAAGTAAAAATAACATGACTGAGGCTGGGCACAGTGGCTCATGTCTGTAGTCTCAGCACTTTGGGAGGATGAGGCAGGCAGATCACCTCAGGTCAGGAGTTTGAGCCCAGCCTGGCCAATGTGGTGAAACCCTGTCTCTACTGAAAATACAAAAATTAGCCAGCTAGGGTGGTGCACACCTGTAGTCCCAGCTACTCGGGAGGCTGAGGCATAAGAATCACTTGAACCCAGGAGGGAGAGGTTGTAGTCAGTTGAGACTGTGTCAATGTACTCCAGCCTAAAACAGTGACAACAACAAAAAAACCACTGTGGTCTTTCCTTTGAGGTAGAGCTGCAAGAAAAGAAAACAAAACTGTGGTCCTTTAGCCAAGTGCATTGTCATCCTAATAAATCTGGGTCCTCTTCCTAAGAAGGAGGGGAAAATGACTATTGAGTGGCAATTACTCTCTGCCCCAAGGATATAAATCACAGTATTAATGATGTTTATATCTGGGGATAGAATTGTACGTGATTTTAGTTTTTCTTGTTTAACTATATTTTCTAAAATTTCCTTAGTAAACACATATTATGTTTCAAAGAAAAGATTTTTAATGAGTTGGTTATTCAATACAAAGTTTTCTTCAAATGCTGTGTGAAGTAAGAGAAGAGGTCAAAAGAAAACTAACTCAAAGGCATTCTACCAGCCACTGAACTTGTCTAACAGGCTGCACATTTATTGAAGATCTAATGTGTGATAGATACCTCAAAGCAGAGCTCTCTTTAGAAGACTTTGAAAAGTTTAACTCAAAAGGAGTCAACTAGGATCACATGCGTCCTCTTCATGGAAATTATGAAGATCAGTTACAGTGCAGGCTACTACCTTTAAAAACAAAAGAGAGAGAGGGCTGGGCGTGGTGGCTCACGCCTGTAATCCCAACACTTTGGGAGGCTAAGGCAGGCAGATCACAAGGTCAGGAGATCGAGACCATTCTGGCCAATATGGTGAAGCCCCATTTCTACTAAAATACAAAAAATTAGCCAGGTGTGGTGGCATGCACCTGTAGTCCTAGCTACTTGGGAGGCTGAGGCAGGGGGATCACTTGAACCCAGGAGGTGGAGGTTGCAGTGAGCCGAGATTACGCCACTGCAGTCCATCCTGGAGACAGAGCAAGACTCCACTCCATCTCAAAAAAAAAAAAAAAAAGAGAACCCAAAATGCAGTAGCTTAAATAATACTTTATTTCTCTTCCATATGACGGTCCTGAGGTAATATATCCAGATTGGTGGGCAGCTGTGCTCCACAGTCATTTGGGGATCCGGTTTTCTTCCATCTTTTTGGCATACCACACCTTGGGCATTGTCTTCATCCTCATCTGCATGATGTCTATGAGATCACAGACACTGCTGCTCATATTTCTCTGGAGTAAACCTAGTCACATGGCCACATCTCTTACTTCAAAAGGTTAGACAAATTGTAAAGCACACTTAAAAAAAAACCAAAGCTTATTTAAGCCAAGTCTTTAAAAATGTTTCATATTAGTCTTGAACTTAAAAAAAAAAAAAAAGCTACGTCACATGCATTTATAAGAAATGTTTTTAGGATTTTTCCTTCTACATCATAAAAGACCTGTATTTCCTCTTGCTGCCAGATACAACCACTGTTAATAGATATTTCAGATATTTCCCTATAATACTTTTCCTTGGCATTTTTAACATGGTTGTGTTCAAGCTATTTATACCACTCTGAATCCTCTTTTTTTAAAAACTGTTTGCATAATTTACCTGTCATTACAAACTCTTTGTAAATAATCTAATTAACTAAGTAGCAAGGGTAGGGAACATGTCATCTTCAATGCTCAGCAGGTAGCATTGCGCTGGTCACATATTAAGGGTTCAATCAATGTTTGTTGAATGAAGGCATAGCTGGATACTGATAGAGTGCTATCAGGTTGATCAAAAGTTCCATAGTTTATTTAGCAAACCCCAAGTGGCTGTGTTGTAACTTCACAGAAAACTACTGTAGCCTTGGATGATAAATCACCTTTGTCTTTCAGTGTTTACATTTTACTTATTTACATACGGAAGCAGCCCTTACACTGAAATTACTGCACTGAGAACCTGTGCTTCCATGCCACTGTGTCACACTTAAGCAAATGTCACTGTTTTCTTTATCTATAGGGTATTTGTTCTCCTAGAGGCCCTCAGACCTCAGTGGTGTAGCAGAGAAATTCCAGATCCAGCAAACAGCACTTGCACTAAGAAATATCCCATCGCGGAGGTAAGGTATAATGCCTCTGTGGTCAGTCAGTGGGGTTCTGGTGATCACCACATCTAAGTTTTCCATTGTAGTTACAAGGAAGCCCACGTGCTGAGATCCTACGGTTGAGCTTAAATTATTCATGCTAAGCTACCACTGAGTCATCACTCTCATTTTTTTCCCCGAACTTAAGAGCAACCATACGCAGGAATCTTCTGAAGTTTATAATCATAAGACTAAAAGCCCCCTAGCTTTTGATTCCTCAGGATGCCTCACATTCCCCTTCTCACCAAACTGCTCTCCTGTTCTCCTCACCTAACTTATTTCAAAAGAAGAAAGCAAGATTTTTTTTTTTTTGGCCATTTGTTGAATACTAGCCTGAGCATTGACTCATCCAAAATTCAAGAGAATTGGAGCTTTTGATTTTCCTATCTGAGCATAGAACAGATAAATAGAACCCACACTATGTTGGTTTGGGCAGGAAGCCAGTATATCATTCCATTGTGCAAAGAAAAGGTTTTAAAGGATAGGCAGCTCAGCTGGCAGATGAGAGAGCAGAGAGTAAAGGAAATGAAGGAAGCTGCTGCGGCCCAGGAAAGGAGGTAAAAAAGCTCACAGTGGGCAAGATGGGCCATCCCTGGTGGAGGGTCTGGAAGTTAAAAGCATCTGAATATCAAGACTACATTTTTTTTTTTGAGACAGAGTCTCTCTATGTTACCCAAGCTGGAGTTCAGTGGCACAATCTCAGCTCACTGCAACCTCTGCCTCCCAGGTTCAAGCAATTCTCTTGCCTCAGCCTCCCCAGTAGCTGGAATTACAGGTGCTCACCACAACACCAGGCTAATTTTTTTTTTGCATTTTTAGTATAGACAGGGTTTCACTATGTTGGCCAGGCTGGTCTTGAACCCCTGACCTTGTAATCTGCCCAAGTGCTGGGATTACAGGAGTGAGCCACCGTGCCCTGCCATGAAGACTACATTTAAGGGGAGAAATAGGAAAGAGAAGTGGCAAACCAATATTCCTCCCATTGTCTGGGGCTTTGACGGCTCCAGACTCCCTTTCCAAGAACTTATAACGCTTCTCGCCCAAGATGCTTCTCTTTAACTACCCAGTGTGTTCTGTCACCCACACCCTTCCTTGGGCCCGAAGCCAGTGGTCCATAGTTCCAGCCTCTGCTCAAAATAGATAGATAGATAGATAGATAGATAGATAGATAGATAGATAGATAGATAGATAGATAGATAGATGATAGATAGATAGCGGATCCCAGCCGGGCACAGTGACTCACACCTATAAATCCAGCATTTTGGGAGGCGGAGGCAGGTCAAGATATCGAGACCATCCTGGTATAAGGTGAAACACCGTCTCTACTAAAAATACAAAAATTAGCTGGGCATGGTGGCGTGCACCTGTAGTCCCAGCTACTCAGGAGGCTGAGGCAGGAGAATTGCTTGAACCCAGGAGGTGGAGGTTGCAGTGAGCCGAGATTGTGCCATTGCACTCCAGCCTGGGTAACAAAAGCGAAACTCCGTCTCAAAAAAACAAAAAACAAAAAACAAAAGAGCGGATCCCAGTCACAGCTTCCTTAGGAATTTAAGTCACTACAGTTTAGTGCCTTTGAAATCAAGTCTGGAGGCCACCCCTGCCTCTGCTGCTTACTATGTGTGTGACTCTTGGGCAACTTGCCCAACTATCTGAGCCCAAGTTTCAGCCTCCATAAAACAGGAGTTGACAATATCATTCTTACATACCACCGTGAGGATCAAATAAGATGCTATGTAAAATACATGGGTCACACAAGACAAAGGTCATTCACCTTCTTCCCAGGAAGACACATAATTTAAGTCTCCTCTGAGGGATTTTGTCCCTGTCAAGTTACAACTGCAGGAATAGTGATAATAACAGCAGTTTGTGTATATATATAATGCACAGGTTATATATTTATATATTTTATATTTTCTATGTCATATAATTATATAATATTATATATTCATTATTATAATTTAGATATATTACCTTCTATGTATCAGGCACTTTTGAAAATTTTTTTATGTTAACATTTAACCCATGCAACAGCGTTATAAGGTTATATGATTATTATCATTTTTTTATATGAGGAAACTAAGGCACAGAGGACTACGTAACTTGCCCAAGTAAATGGTGGATCCTGGACTCAAAACCAAGCCAGATCACTGCATTATACATTGTAAAGGATCTTTTATCACGGGCGAGGAGAGTGTTCCTAGCAGTCTACACCTCTGAGATGAACAGACTTATTAGAGAAAGACAGGAGGAGGTGATAGAATTGGTACACATACACCTGAAGTTGTGTAGCATAAGAATGTTCATTGCAGCATTATCAACAGAAGCAAAAATAGAGCATAATGGAAAGGTCCACCAGGGGGCAGATTAAACATTTTGGATACATTCATACAACAGGATATTAGGCAACTACTAAAAAAATGAGATGGATCTATATTGCCTAAAGATCTCAAAGACACTTACAAAGAAAAAGAGCAACATTTGTAACAATTGTCTAAAGTGGGTTCATTTATATAAAAATGAGGGCGATTTTATAAACACTCATACATCTGCAGCATGGGCACAGGATATTTCTGGAAGCCCACTGATACATATGAAATGGGTAAAGGGAGGGGTCTGAGAGTATGAGGGCCACTTAATTTTCATTACACAGTTCTTTGAACTTTTAGAATATCTTTTTTTTTCTTTCCTTTTTTGAAACGAAGTCTCACTCTGTCGCCCAGGCTGAAGTGCAATGGCGTGATCTCATCTCACTGCAACCTCTGCCTCCCAGGTTCAAGCGATTCTCCTGCTTCAGCCTCCTAAGTAGCTGGGATTACAGGCACCTGCCACCATGCCTGGCTAATTTTTGTATTTTTAGTAGAGATGGGGTTTCACCGTGCTGGCCACGCTGGTTTTGAACCCTTGACCTCAAGTGATCCACCTCCCTCAGCCTCCCAAAGTGCTGGGATTACAGGCATAAGCCACCACGCTCAGCCTAGAACATCTTAAGAAAACTATGGACATATAATTTTTTTGCAAAAATAACCAGTGAATTAGAAAATTTTTCAAATTAAGCGGCTTAAATATGGCCTTCAGGATGAAGGCCTTGAGATGGCCAGTGTGCTTTGACCCTTGAAGGAGGTGGACTGTTTTTAGAAACCAAACTGCTAGGTGGAGGCAGACAACAGAAACACAATAGTGTGTCCTTTCCTTCCAGAAAATGTGCTTTGAGCTTTCAGGCCTTCCATCCCCTACTGTTTCTTAAGATACGGCTACAAAACCATGTGCCCTAAAGCTCTGGAGGAAAAGGCCAAATCATAAAGGGGATCGCTGGGGTGTCATCCAGCTTGTAAAAGCTTAAAACAGTGGCATGAGGTTCCTGAACTGATAGTGGTTTAAGAGGCCTGCCTCCAAGGACTTGGCAGCCAGAGGGCCTGCTTTGTAAAAGACGGGAGAAGCAGCCTCTCAGTGTTGCTGTCGCTCTCATGATGGCAGAGCAAACACCTCACCTTGTGAAAACAACAAGCCATTTCCGCAAACCATGTAATCTCTCCCACATCTGCGGTAGCAGCACTTTGGCAGCTCAGCTTCCCAGAGCTGCCAGCTGTGTTCCGAGCCAGACCAATGTGCCAGGGCCAGTTTGAGCAGTGATCAGAAAAGAGCAGGCTCCCCAAAGTGAAACATGCACATCCTCTAGCTTGGTGGGGCCCTAAGTGGAAATCTGTTCTGAGACAGTTCACCTTCCCGACACTTGTCTTGCCCAAGGCAAGGGAGAGGGTGTCAGAAGATCCAGACCAACCCCCTCTTGCACAATTTGTCATTGGACAAATCAGAGAACTGAGGTCCCAGAGAGGTTGATTGGGTATTCCCAGGCATACCCAATGTGTCAGAGTTGGGACTAGTCCCCAGGGTGTGCCTTGTCCCAAGGCTATTTTTTGTCGTCATACTCCTCCTGTAAGAGATGGTCCCGGTGCACACATGACTTACAGGCATGTAAAGAAAGCGACAGCACAAAGCACAACATGCCAAGAATCTAATGGTGGGTTGCTTCATTGAATAGGCATCCAAGGGAAGGGACAGTCACCAGGGGTCTCATGGAACACGAAGGTGCCAAGCCGGGGACAATGGAAGACACACAAAAAGAAGGCTGGGGGCTGGCGGTGGAAGCAAAAGTGTGTGGGGCACTGAGAGAAGGGCGTGATAGTAAAACTGGGACAGTGGCTGAAAGAGCAGCTTCTGAAGAGGACCGGGAGGTGGAGAAGCGCAGGAACCAACTGCAGGGCCAATGTAGAATCCTGACTGTGCATGGAGGCCAAGTCGATCGAGGTTCTGGACCTCTGCTTGGGAAATATCAAGCAGCCAGTGTGTAGGATTCTTTCTAGGATACAAGGAGACCCCAATTAAAGCCCAGTTTTTAAAAATGTTAATAAAGTGCCGAGGACTTAGAATCAGGAATTGGCAGCAAGTTCGGAAAGGAAAGAGATACTACATTGAAGAGCTGGTCACTGGCAGGATGCTAAGAGAAAACAAGGAAGAGAATTCATTAATTAACAAAAGTATAAGCTAATTCTGTCTGTTACAAACAAAATTAGCTAAAGGCAAAAATGGATGAAAATTTATTCTAAAAATGTTACTCCAAAGTAGTCTTTCTTTTTTTTTATTTTTATTTTTACTTATCTGTTAAATAGGACAAAGTAGTCTTTCTTAAAAGCAGATATAACAAGGATATTACCTTGCCTGAAATCTTTCAGTAGTTCTCCCAAGGTCTAAACCCTCTTGCATAACGTAAAAGGCACCATGTGATGTGATCACTTCTTATTTCTGAAGCCTCGGGTTATCAGTCATAAGAAATAATGAGCAGGTTCCAGAATACACCTATCCTCCTTGCCAGCACCTTCCTACCTGGAAAATACCACACATCTCTTAGGACTCAGCTCTTGTGTCCCCTCATCACCTGTTTAGTGTGACCCTAAAGGCTTCCTGGCCTCCTACCCCAGACAGAAGTCTCAGCCTTTCCTTTGCATCTCTGGTGCCCTCTGTCCTCGAGGAAAAGCAAGTAGTACAGCTTGGTTGACATTAGAAATGGGGCCGGGCATGGTGGCTCACACCTGTAATTCCAGCACTTTGGGAGGCCAAGTCAGGCACTTGGGGTCAGGAGTTCGAGACAAGCCAGGCCAACATGGTGAAGCCTCGTCTCTACTAAAAATATAAAAATTAGCCGGACATGGGAGCATATGCCTATAATCCCAGCCACTCAGGAGGCTGAGGCACAAGAATCACTTGAACCTGGGAGGCGGAGGTTACAATGAGCCAAGATTGCGCCACTGCACTCGAGCCTGGGTGACAAAAAAAGAAACAGGTTGAAGGTTGAATGGGGTAGTGAATCACTCACTGGCTGGGGGTTGAGAGGAGTCTCTGACTCCTGTTCCTCTGCCTCCTTGACACTGTTAACTGTTTCTCTTACTTCACAAACTCCAGTGCCCACCATGTTCCTCAGCCAGGGCTGAGGAGGCAGTGCAGTTTGTGAGGCCTTTGGGAATCTTGGAGAAATAGTTTGCTAAGGTCGCTTCTATACCAGTATAAGCCTCTTCCTCCTCCTTTCTCTCAGGAGAAGACACAGCTGCCCTTGGACAGGCTCCTGACAGACTGGCCCACTCCTGAAGACCCTGAACCCCTTGTCATCAGTGAAGTCCTTCATCAAGTGACCCCAGTCTTCAGACATCCCCATTGCTCCAACTGGCTACAAAGGGGAAAAGGAATCCAAAGTCACCAGACCTCTGAGAAAGACATGATGCCCAGTGCCTCAAGCCCACCATCTTCAAGAGCTCTCCCAGCTGAGAGGAGACAACTGGTAGATCTGTACAAGGTGCTGGAGAGCAGGGGCCCTGACTCAAAGCCAGAAAACCCAGCCGGTCCCTGGACAGTGCTCCCAGCGGGCGACCTTCCCACCCATCACGGCTACTTACCCTCCAACATAGATGATCTCCCTGCACATGAGGTGCCTCTCTCTGACTCTCTGGAAGAACTGGAGCCTCAGCATATCTCCCTTTCTGTTTTCCCCTCAAGTTCTCTTCACCCACTCACCTTTTCCTATGGTGATAAGCTGACTCTGGATCAGTTAAAGATGGGGTGTGACTCCCTCATGCTCTGAGTGGTGAAGCTTAAAGCCTGGAAAGTCAGTGTGCCCACAACCAGCACAGCCTGCCATAATTCTCCCAGCCCCAATGCCAGCGGCTGTCATCTCTGGGTGCCACCATCAGTCTGCCTGTAGCTAGAGGACAGGCAAGCCAGCTCTGGGAGGTTCTTAGGAACTGGGAGTTGGTCTTCACACAGATATCTCATCTTGCCTTTCCCAGGGCCTTAAGATTACATCCTTCACCATGTGGACTTAGAGACTCCAACTTGAATTCCTGGTAACTTTCTTGGCTATGCTGGCCAGAAAGGGAAAAGAGGAGAGTAGAAACCACAGCTCCTAGGAGTAATGGCAAACAGTCCAGAGGACCATTCATGCAAAGACTATTTCTAAAAGCACCTGCTACATAGAAGACCATACACAGCAGATCAGTACTGTTCAACAGAACTTCCTGAGATGATGGAAACGTTCTACCTCTGCACTCACTGGCCAATACAGTAAACACTAGGGACACTGGATGTTTATCACTTGAAATGTGTTTAGCTTGACTAAGGAATTATATTTTGATTGTAAATTTAAATCATCACATGTGGCTAGTGGCTACTGTTTTGGAGAGCACAGCTCTAGATGGCTCCTAGATTACTGGGAGCCACCATAACAAATCAGCCTAGTTCTATGGACGAGGACATAAAAGACACTGGTAAACACCAGTGTCAAAGGGCCCCCAAGGTGGTCATGACTGGTTTTATTTGTAGAAGTCTAAGAATGTACCTTTTTTCTAGTTATGCTGGTTTATTGTTTTATTTTGGCTTCAACCCTTTCAGTGTGTCAAGGGCAGCTGGATGGTGAAGAGCTACCATAAACTCACTATAGTACTCACTTGGGTGTCTTGTAAAGGGCTGAACCAAAGGCTCTCTGACCCCTTGTTTCCTCTCCTTTTTGCTGCCTTCAGGACCAGGGCTGTCTCAGGGTCTAAGACCCCAACCTCCAAGGTTACCCTCAGAAGTTGTCTGTCCCCTGTTCCCAGAGGCACAGCTTTCATGCCCCAAGAAGATTTTGAGCTGGTCCTCTGACAGCTCAAGTTGAGCCTGGAAGATAACTCTCTTTTCCACAGCATGGACTTGGAACCTGATCCATGTTTTGCTCTTTAAAGCTATGGTCCCTAGCTTGTCACCCTCCCTGGCACATTGCTGCCTCTGGCTCTTCACCACAGGCACTTCTACCAAGCTGGTGGAGAAAAGTCTTTGTCTAAACTGCTAATAGTGCTCTTCCCAAAAGAACAGGATAAAAGATCCAAAAAACTTTTTCTTAAATTCCTGTCAAGCCTGGGGTCTAACACCCACCCCTTCCCACACAAACACTGGAACAGAGATGGCTTTGCTATCATCCTCTAGATTTTCTTTTTTTTGAGATGGAGTCTTGACCTGTTGCCAGGCTGGAGTGCAAGGGTGCAGTCTTGGCTCACTGCAACCTCCGACTCCCTGGTTCAAGCAATTCTCCTGCCTCAGCCTCCCAAGTAGCTGGGATTACAGGAACACACCACCACGCCCAGCTAATTTTTATATTTTTAGTAGAGTTAAGGTTTCTCCATGTTGGCCAGGATGGTCTCGATCTCCTGACCTCGTGATCTACTCACCTAGGCCTCCCAAAGTGCTGGGATTACAGACATGAGCCACTGCGCCCAGCCTCTGGATTTTCATTTAACAAAATACCTGTTGCAAATGTGTACTTCTTCCCTAATGTGCAGCACTAGAAACTTGTCCATACAGAGCCCAGTCCTGTATAAATAACTGTTCTTGCACTTTAGGTTTACCAGATTTCCCCCGGAGATCTAAAAATTGAGCAATGGACAGTTGCTCTGCTTCATGTTGAAACTCTTGATACATCCTTGTTTCCTGCAATTCCAAATTTCACATCGATAGTTTTCTCAGGCCTTTTTTTTTTTTTTTTTGAAAAGTTCCTTCCTTTCTATTACTATTCTACTTTATTTAGCTATTATTGTGGGGCACCCCCAAGGGTTCCTTTCCTCTCAGCATCGCTGTAGCTTGCCTGCACCCAGGACGTGCCCTTGACTGACAAAAACCATGCCAGACAAGGCCACCGCCTCAGAAATGGACCAACAAATGATCTTTTGGCAATGGGAGCTAACTTCACTGTTTTCTTACAATAACTGGTTTTTCCTATCGTTGGCTTCCTTTTGATGACCTGTTGCCCATCTCAGCCACTCTTCTCCCCTCTCTTGTGTCCACAACATCCCATTTAACCTCCCCACACTTTTTTCCCTTACAGTCTCAGATTATACTGCAACTCTCATTTGTCTTCCCCCAAAAAATTTTTTTTTAAGAAATCCTTCCTTGACTCCTAAAGACTCCTAAGGATGCTGAGGCCTCCTCAGCATGAATTCCAATACTTACTTTCTCTGTTGGACTGCAAACAACTTGAAAGCAGGCACTTTGGCAGTGTTTCTCCAGCACCAGCATCAGGCCTGGTCCATAGTAGCTAGCAATGAAAAGGTAAGCATCATGAACCTGCAAGTATCTGTAAAAGGTCTCAATTAATTTAAAAAGTTTTTATTTTGCCAAGGTTAAGGACACACACTGACACAGCCTCAGGAGGTCTGGAGGACATGTGCCCAAAGTGGTTGAGGCACAGCTTGGTTTTATACATTTTAGGGAGACATAAGACATCAATCAACATATGGAAGATGTACATTGGTTGGGTCTGGAAAGGCGGGACAACTCAAAGTGGGGGCTTCCAGGTCATAGGTAAATAAGAGACAAAAAGTTGCATTCTTTTGGTGTTTAGATCAGCCTTTCATTAAATACACAATTTACATGTGAGAAAGAGGTAGCTCAGGTGAGCAGAGGGATGATGCTGAGTTCTGTCTATACTTTGTCCCACACCTGTGAAGATCAGCTATGGTGAAGTTCAACAGAACAGTTTTAGGCTAAAGATCCTGAAGCCCTCGAAGGCAAATTTTGATGAAAGTAGACAGTTTCTTTTTGAGGTGGGAGATATGATGGGAGGCGGGTTGGCCTGATGCAGTTCCCAGCTTGACTTTTCCCTTTAGCTTAGATTGATTTTCTTTTCACAACAGTGTCACCTGCCACTGCTTTGTCTTATTCTTTCGAGTCCAGAAGCTAGCCCAGCTGTGCCCACTTCCTCATTCTTGGAACAATTATTTGCATTTGCTCATTTTCCTTCCCAAACCTCATTCTACCCCACTGTTTGTTGACAGCACCGCTGTGAATGCAGAGGAGTGTTTCTCGTTTTCAAGACATATTTGAGCATGTCTTTGGCAGTCACTCTGCCAGATAAGGTGTCCTCTTTCCATGAATGACAGAGGATGGGTAACTCTGTTCTGCCATTGTCCCAAGTGTTTTTCACAATCTGCTCTTCTCCCTCCTGCCCCTTCAACACTAGTAAAATCCCCAAGCCAAGTTGCTAGATTCACCAGGTTTAGGTGGAACTCACCAATGTAGAGTCAGGCTTTCATTTCTTAGAAAAATTGTCAGTAATTTCATGGTGTGATAATATTGGAAATAGGTTTATAACGTTGGGAAGAATCCACACCGAGACAATGGATCGCTCAGCAAGGCTACTTTTACTACCTGCAGGAAGGGTGCAACTCGCCGGCAGTCCTGCCACGAGAGCACATCTGAACCAAGAAGACAGGGATATTTATAACTTTCGTAACCTGATGCAGTCACCCTACTGCTGTGTCAGTTTTCATTGGCCAGAACGGGACCCCACATTCTATATTTTACCTGATTGGCTAAAAACTTGAAAATTTCCTGAATAGTTAAGGGGGGGAAAGAAGACAAGGAAGAAGATGAGGAAAAAGAGGAAGCTAGTCAAGAGAAAGTCAGGAGGGTTTCCAAATAAGGAATGGCATGGACCAGGGTTTGGAGCTTGCCCAGTTCTGTTCAGACATGCCAGAGTGAGTCAAGGTGGCTGATTTGGAGAATATACATACATGAATATATGTTTATACTAATAGCAGATAATGGACATAGAGCAAGAGATTGTAACTCCTTATAATGTAGTCTAAGATAAAACTTTGAAGAACTTTCCCATCTCTCACATATAATGATATATATTGGTTTTCATCTATGGTTGCTGGCTCATAATGTCAGAGGTGTTTGAACTAGAGTGACTCCATCTTGAATAGAGGATGGGTAAAATAAGGCTGAGACCTACTGGGCTGCATTCCTAGGAGGTTAGGCATTCTTAGTCACAGGATGAGCTAGGTCAGCACAAGACACAAGTCACAAAGACCCTGCATATAAAAGAAGTTGTGGTAAAGAAGGCAGACAAAACCCACCAAAACCAAGATGGGGACCCACCAAAACCAAGCTGGTCATCCTCACTGCTCCTTATATGCTAAATATAATGCATTAGCATGTTAACAGACACTCCCTCCAGTGCCATGACCCAATAGGGTCTAAAAGGGGAAGAAACTCACAGCTCTGGGAATTGCCCACCTTTCTTGGAAAACTAATAAATAATTCACCTCTTGTTTAGCATATCAAGAAAAACTTGGCAATAATCCCAGCAATTTGGGAGGCTGAGGCAGGTGAATCACCTGAGGTCAGGAGTTCGAGACCAGCCTGGCCAATATGGTAAAACCCCATCTCTACTAAAAATACAAAATTAGCCAGGCACGGTGGACTGTGCCTGTAATCCCAGCTACTCAGGTGGCTGAGGCAGAATTGCTTAGAAGCCGGGAGGCGGAGCTTGAGGAGAACCAAGGTTGAGCCATTGCACTCTAGCCTGGGTGACATAGTAAGACTGTCTCAAAAAAAAAAAAAAAAAAAGAAATGTAAGTGTACTCAATCAAGCAGCCCATGTTGCTGCTCTATGTATGGAGTAGCCATTATTTTACTCCTTTACTTTCTTAATAAACTTACTTTCACTTTACTCATTTACCTCAAATTCTTTCTTGCTCAAGATCAAGATCCCTGTCCCATAACAGTAACTCCCATAGCCCTCCTTAGTGTTTTGAGATAATATTGTGTCTGTCAGGCCCCAGTGGCTGGCCTTTAACCTTCTCCTACCCTCCTTTCACTCTAACATTCCCCTGCCTTTCTGATTGTGGGTCTTAAGACCCTTCCATGAGAGGGTCCCACCCTATACCCTGGGAGAAGAAATGCTGATGTCATGAAGCTTTCATAAAAACCCAAGTGGTTACATTTCGGGCTGGATGAAAAAAAAAAAAAACGAAAAACAAGAGGGCCAGGTACAATTGACTCATACCTGTAATCCCAGCACTTTGGGAGGCCAAGGCGGGTGGATGACTGGAGGCCAGGGGTTTGAGACTAGCCTGGCCAATTTGGCGAAAACCCCATCTCCACTCAAAATACAAAAATTAACCAAGCGTGGTGGCACATGCCTATAATTCTGGCTACTTGGAAGGCTGAGCCATGAGAATCGCTTGAACTCGGGAGACGAAGGTTGCGGTGAGCCAAGATCATGCCACTGCACTCCAGCAGGACAAGACTGTCTAAAAAACAAAACAAAACACAACAAAAAAAGCAAAACCCAAGAGGACTGGATTCAGAGAGCTTCCAAATAGCTAAACATGTGGAGATTCCTGAAAGGTGGCGCATGGAAGCTCCATGCCCCTTCCCCCATTCCTTGCACTACACATCTCATCTGCATCCTTTGTAATAAACCAATAAAGCTTGTTTCCCTGAGTTCTGTGAGCTGCTCAGCAAATTAATCAAACCCAAAGAGGGGGTTGTGGGAACCTCAACTTAAAGCTGATTGGTCAGAAGTTCCGGGGCTGGACTTGTAACTGGTGGGGTTGGGACAGTCTAGGGGACTCAGCCCGCAACTTGTGGGATCTGACACTATCTCTGTGTTCCCAATACCCAGAACAGTATTGGCACTGAATCAGAGGACACCCAGATGATGTCTGCTGCTTGGTGTGTGGGGAAACACCCCGACGTCCACCATCTGGTCACAGAAGTTGCTTCTGCATTTAGTTGTGGTCTGCGGGTAGAGCCTGGCTAATTTTTATATTTTTTGTAGAGACAGGGTTTCGCAGTGTTGCTCAGGCTGGTCTAAAATTCCTGAATTCAAGTGATTGGCCCACTTCAGCCTCCTCAAGTGCTGGGATTACAGGTGTGAGCCACTGCGCCCAGCACTTGAGTTCACTCTTAATGAATTCATGGAAATCCTCACCATGAGAATCTTTGAAAGACTCCTCTCTTTCCCTAGAGCCAGAGATTCTATTTTCTAGGTTTCTGTATACCCCACAGGCAATACGAAAATTAAACTAGTGTTAGATTTTTCTCTTCCTTCTTCTTTCCACACTGTCACACTTTTTCAGCTTCTGTTAATAGCCTTTCAGCTTCGGCTTTAATTCACCAATCCTCTGAGACCTGTGAAAGCAATGCCAAACTAGGCACATTATGTAATAGCTCCCAGTGTTCGATTTTTGGTTTTTCTCCACCAGGTTCTGCTCTTTTCAGTCATCTAATGCAGTTGTCACCTGTCCCAATAGCACCACTCAAGCCCTCCAAAGGAGGCATGTTTTCCTCTTTCTAACTTGCCTGACTCATGGAAGTTCACATTATCCACCTTTATGAAAAGCTGATAGGTGAACCCTCAGGAGTAAAGCACCTCTCAAGAGATCAGAGGGTCTTCTTCCCAACCTAGAAAAAGATAAGCAATTCAATCAATCTGCTGGCTGATGGAAACAAATTGGATCATTAGATCACAGCCTAACTAGAATGAATTTTCAAAATAGATTAAAGCCTTGCAAAACTCTCTTGCTCTTTCACACACGCACACAGATAAAAATATTTGCAACAGGTCAGGCATGGTAGCTCATGCCTATAATCCCAGGACTTTGGGAGGCTGAGGTGGGTGGATCACTTGAGATTAGGAGTAGAGACCATCCTAGCCAACATGACAAAACCCCGTCTCTACTAAAAGAAAAAAAAATTAGCTGGGCATGGTGGCGGGCACCTGTAATCCCAGCTACTCAGGAAGCTGAGGCATGAGAATCGCTTGAACCTGGGAGATGGAGGTTGTAGTGAGCCAAGATTGTGCCACTACATTCCATCCTGGGCAAGAGTGAGACTCCATCTCATGAAAAAGAAAACAAAAATAAGTTGGCTCCTTTGTAGAAGGCAGATGGACAATATTCAATAAAATTTGAATACACAACTCCACTCCTACACTATAACCTAAGGAACAGTATAAATATATTAAATTGAATGCAGGATTCCTCAGCAGCATTCATTTTATAAAATGGTGAGGAGCAGGGAGAGGGAAAAGTCTTAAATGCCCTTCAGTAGAGACCTGGTTAAATCATGATATATGGGTACAATTAAATACTGAATTTCAAGGAATCTAAGACTCCAGCAGTTTTAAGACATCTCATTAGCCAGGTGCCGTGGCTCACACCTGTAATCCCAGAACTTTGGGAAGCCGAGGCGGATGGATCCCCTGAGGTTGGGAGTTCGAGACCAGCCTGACAACATGGAGAAACCCCGGCTCTACTAAAAGTACAAAATTAGCCACGTTTGGTGGTGCATGCCTGTAATCCCAGCTACTCAGGAGGATGAGGCAGAAGAATCTCTTGAACCCAGGAGGTGGAGGTTGCAGTGAGCCACGATGTCGCCATTGCACTCCAGCCTGGGCAACAAGAGCAAAACTCCATCTCAAAAAAAAAAAAAAAAAAAAAAAAAGACATCATTAGTTTATGTTTTAACTACAAAAAAAAAAAGCCAATAAAACTGTAATAGGCTATTAATATCTATGATGCACAATTTTTTTAACATGTTAATATGCCTAAAATTTGAGATATATCTTAGAATTGATAAAAAGCATTCTATGCAGTGATTTTTTTTTTTTTTTTTTGGTTTATGTTTTTTTAAGTATAAGGAAGGCTGGGTAGAGTGGCTTATACCTGTATTCCCAGCTCTTTGGGAGCCAGGGCCAGAGGATCACTTAAAGCCAGGAGTTCAAGACCAGCCTGCGCAACAACATAGCAAGACCCCATCTCTATCAATTTTTTTTTTTTTTTAATTAACAGGGCATGGTGGCTTATGCCTGTAGTCCCACCTTCTTGGGAGGCGGAGGCAGGAGGATCACCTGGGCAACAGTGTTATACTTAAAAAAGTATATCGATATTTGACATGGAAATGGTCATTTACAAAAGGCTGAATATTTGTAATGACGTCTGGAAAAAAATAATAAAAAGGAAAGAAAGGCTGAATAGAATCATTTCACTTTTACAAATCAATGCAAAAAATCATAAAGAATATACACCAAAATGCTAACTATGGTTATCTCTAGCCATAGTTTTTAGATTTTTTTACATTCTTCTAATCATACCTGCTCAATACTCTTGTAATTGGATACTCAATAAAATATTACCAATTTCTTTTCAAAGACCTGGGTCTAGAGACATACTACTGACCACTCTCTTTGTGGCCCTAGCCCATGTTTCTTTCCCCCTCCACCTTCTGTGTTTGGCACTTGCATTGATCCTTAGTGCTTCTGTCAGACAAAGAAAAGGCAAAGCACATGACACAATCAAGTAACTGGGGGTAGGAGCGTTAAGGTAGTATTTGAGATAATCAGTCTTTGAAATCCAATTTATATATAGGCCAAGCAGTGGCTCATGCTATAATCCCAGCACTTTGGGAGGCAGAGGTGGGCAGATCACTTGAGGTCAGGAGTTTGAGACTAGCCTGGCCAACATGGTAAAACCCCGTCTCAATTAAAAAAAAGGCTGGTCTCAGTGGCTCATGCTTGTAATCCCAGCACTTTGGGAGGCCAAGGTGGGCAGATTACCTGAGGTCGAGACAAGACCAGCCTGGACAACACAGTGAAACTCGGTCTCTACCAAAAATACCAAAATTAGCTGGGTGTGGTAGCAGGCGCCTGTAATCCCAGCTACTCAGGAGGCTGAGGCAGGAGAATCGCTTGAACTGGGGAGGCAGAAGTTGCAGTGAGCTTAAATTGTGCCACTGCACTCCAGCCTGGGCAACAGAATCAGACTCCATCTCAAAATCAATACATATAATAAGCCAACTTTTGCCAATTCCTATTCTAATAGGAATTGTTAATTATACTCAGTAACACTAACAGTACTTTGTGCATAGTTTTTAAGGAGTGTAAATCAGTTCTTACCACCAAACAGATGAAGAAACAGATACAAAGGTCAAATAACAATGGAATTCATACAATACCTTATACCAGCTAGTCTAGTTTCAAACTTTTAAATACTAATTCCATTCTATGCAAATGTTGTACGAGTTTACATTGAGATTCTGACTGTAGTTAACTGTAACTGTGATTCTGTACAAATCTGTGAAGTCTCCAAAAAACCTTTGAAATAAATTCAGACCAAAGAAAGTTTTTATGGGGCAACCACAAACTGGTGTTTCCATACTTCCGAAGTTCTGGTTCATTCTTGGTTCTTGAGAAATAAACTAAAAACTATATAAATTTAAAATCAAAGAACACAGGGACAAATCTGGCACTGCTGAATTGGCTAATTTATCTACCCAGCTAGTCTAAATCCTGTAATAGAAGAAGGAACAGATAGGCCACAAAAAGTAAAGTACCACGCCTCGAAAAGAACAATTTGAAGTAAACTGATTAATGGAGTATCTTAAGCCATTAATAGGAAC